GGCAAAGATGGCTAGGTGGATGAAACAAAGCATGGATGGACAGAATATGACATTTCCCCCATAATTATACAGAGCCTGTATTCGCTCTTCTCTGCCATGGACCAAACTTCAAATTAATTATGAACCCTTTATTCTCAATGCCTCTACGTGCACCCCCAATATTTTGGCTATTTTCACTAAAGAAAGGCCCAGTTTCTCGTGTAAATGCAAATATGGAGAATGAAAGTGGGAGACTGATATATATATGGTTTTTATATTTTATGTTCTTTGACAATCATACAAGTTTTGTATCACAAATGAAGCACTCTTATTACCTAAGCACTCTCATTATCTAAGTTTCTGTTTCCTTGAGAGCATGATATAATTTCTTTTTGTACTCACGAGCTCTCTGTGCCATGCTCAGACCATGCTGACCATGATGTAATTTGTTTTTGGTTTCGGCTGTCCACGAGCCCTGGGTGGGTTCGGGCCCGAAACATATTTTGGTTTCTGTAATCATGCGCTCCAGGCGTGAGAGGGAGCGATCACTTTTCCTGATTGGGTGAGAGATTTTCCTTTGAAGTTTGGCATAAATGACGGATGGCAGTTGGCACTGGAAGGGTCTGCTAGGGTTGCATATGGACGCCTAGCTGCGCGGGTTGCTGCCCTGCCGGGATCGACCGGCCCTCCGATCCTTGTGTCACGTAGGGGAAAATATAAATTGTATTGAGACAATATAGTTTGTATTCAGCACCCTGCCTTGATTGATGTGCTTGCTTTGCTGTTTTCTGTGGCGGAATAAAACATCACATTTTAATTCTAGCAGAAAGAGTTTGTGTGTTCTGTGTGTCATCTTTATTGCCGACTCATCCCGATCCTGCCTAAATTTCATAATACAGAGACAGATTGTATAACCAGGGAGAGTACTTGTTTATCTTCCAGTGTTGCCACTGATCCTAGTTGCAAGTAACTCTGAACTTTGACTAGGCCATTCTAAACCTCTCTGCTGTAGCCTTGGCTCTATGGTGAAAAGGTTGCCTCCATGGATGGTAGCTTCCTCTGGTTTTTCATATCACAAAGCCTCTAACTGGTTTATTTAGATGGATCATTCTTTTTAAGGTTCTTTTACCAGCTTTTACCAGGTATGAGGCTGCTACCACTATAGCCGGGCATAAACTGTCCAATTTTTATCCCTTTTCAGGCCGATTTTCCATTTGTGCAAGAATTTTTTTCGATCGGGCCAACTTTCAGCATTAATGTGCATCATGTATTGTATAGGGAGTAACGAGGGGCGATTAGTACTCTCATGACCACTTCCTGATCAGGAATCATGAGGTCAGGAGAAAATCAGACATGTTTGAAATTCAGTCGGCCGTTGTAAGGTGGTCATGGCCAAATCGCTCAGTGGGCATGCACAAACAAGGATTCTTTTTCTTCCTCTCAAATGAAAACAAAGAAGCATGGCGGGTTGCAGGTGAAATGGAGTTCTTTCTATAAAATTGACAGACAGTAGTAGCCACGTTTGCTCAGCCATGTATTTGACCAAATACGTCGTCACCTTTTCTTTTCAGGCCTTTCAGCAGAAAATTGCTCAAATTGGCAAGGCAGCGCATTTCACTCTACTGAGCTTCATATTCCTCTTCTACTACTTGGCTTCCAGATAGACGAGTCCCACTGCAGAGTCCGACGTGGTTTTTAGACGTACAGAGTGAGCAGGTTAATTGCATCAGAGCATCGGGTCACACAGTGCGAGAAACATACATTGTGAGCTGTGAACTTTTAAACCCTTTGTTTTTATCGTACAGTGTGAGCTGTAGCTGCATGCAGCAATTGAAAATATCGCACAGTGTATGCCCGGCTTATGTTTCCCACTTGGCATGGTGTGTTAAGAGTCTGGTGTGGTCTTAGTTTTCAACCAAATACTGAATATAGATGAAAATAATATAGTTCTGATCAGTGTATTCTCATTATCAGTTCGTACGAAATCGTACGAAAAGTTATGCACCGTAATTTCGTACGTTTTGGATGTTTTTTTCATAGTATTTCGTCGTATTTTTACGTCTTGCCTCGAGACAAGATATCCTTGCGCATGCGCATCTTACGCACCATTCAATAACATAGAATTTAACATACAATTAACCCTAACCCTGACCCTAACCCTAAGATACAAAACAGCAAGCAACCTAGTGACAGACATCAAGAAGTGATTATTGCACTGTTTTTCCCAGTTTTACGTCCGTCCGCGGATCTGCTTTTTTCGTCTGTCTGGCTGTGCATGCGCACTGATCTGTTTTTTCGAGGAAAAACGTCCAAAACGTACGAAATACTGTGCATAACTTTTCGTAGGATTTTATACGAACTGATAATGAGAATATATTGTTCTGATTCATCGCACATGTTTGTCTGTGTCCCCCAAATGAACTGTGGTAAACGGGACTCCTTGTTGTGTTTTTTCAGCAATTTCTCCTACTTTACTTTACAATGACTGATTGAACATTGCACTATGAGATTTTCAAAATTTTCTGCTATGTTCTTGGTTCTGAATGAAACTGTTTACCCTCATACAGATTTACTAATTAGGTGTCTTCAGAAAACAATTGATTTGAACTATTAAGGGCTATCAGAGTAAATGGTACTGAATATTAATGTATTTAAAGGTACATTTGTATATTTGTGGAGGTTTTTGTTACACTTCTAAATTACTGCATTACTTTGTGTCAGTCTCATAAAATCCTACATACAAATTCAAATTTGACAAAATCTGAAGATTTTTAGCACTTTTAGTAATGTTGCCAGTCTGATCATCCAGAAAATCTATCTGAGTGGTAAAGGCAACAATTAGATAAAAGCTTCAGCCTAAGTACAACATTACAATTGGTACAAGCTTTTCTTCCTATAAGTCACAGCAAAAACAAAAGACCCCATCCCAAAAAGAAAAATAAATAATCAAGACTCCTCAAACACAGCTTGTTTCTCTACCTCAGAATCATATTCCTCAATCTGACACAGGGTTTACTATGAAAACTAAACCGTGTATTGGGAACACTCCAGTTTTACCCCCTGCACCCATGTCAAGGAGCGGTATGGAAACTGACAAGCTAGTTATATATTTTCCTTGACGCATCAACAAGCGAGTGCCTTTCGCTCATTTTCGCTTCAGTAAAGAGATAAAAGCCTATTGACTTGCCAGGCAACAGTTAATGCAAATTATGCCTGCTATCATTGTATTATTTATAAGGAGAGTTGCAGACGTTTCCACAGAACTGAACGCTATGCTTACAGAAGATTAGGCATGCTATCTTTTTCATTTACCAGAGGGTAATTGCTAAACTGTGCAAGAATTAGGATTTGTAAAATTCCCCAAAGGTGTTTCATCTTGTAAACAGGTGGTTGCTATCAGCCAAGTGCTTTTAAGTCAGCGACAAACCGACACAGCTCTGGTAAGGAATTATCAAAGGGTTAACTTTCTCGCTGCAGGAAAAAATTTTTTTTTCTTCTTTATACATAACTCAGAAATGTTAAAGTTAAATAATAAATGCTCAAACTTGAGACGGATTTGTCGGCGCCGCTGGTTAATATATCTAACAGCTTTTAATTAAAAACTTTTTCTACAAAATACTGAAGAGTTCAACCTTAACCTTGACTATGTTTATTCAGTGGAGAGAAAATCTACTGTAGAGAATTATTTAGGTTTGACAAAATCACCATTTCTGTAATTAATAGTGACCCTGCAGTAAAACTTTATCTAACCCCTCCGAGCCAGGCTTCTCCTATCACCCGCTTGACTGGACACCTTTGCACAGTCTCTCTGTAGAGTCTCTCACGACCTTTTTCAACATTTTTTTAAATAAAGCATTTTAAATGCCACAATTAACACATTTCATGAATTTTAATGCCAAATAAGGCCTTAATTTAAACAATAATAATTTAATGACTTTTAATGATTTTTAATCACCTGTGGAAACCCTGTATTAAGCATACAAAAAGTAAATTAGCTAAATTAGTTAAAGCAATTTCTAAGCTGTTTCTCAATTTACAAGAATGCGACTTCGGACTCGTGTTTTTGCCAAGTATGTTCTTGACAAAAACACAGGCGAGTATGGACTCGTGGGGGAATAATGATTAATACAGTCAGATAAACACAAATCAAATGAACATTTTGCAAAATAAAACAAAGACGAGAGGGCTGCTGCAGACGGGCTTAGTTTAGCCCTGACTGCAGTTAGCCTCGGAGCTCCTCTGGTTGCCATGGTCCTCTAAAAATCTGAACTTTTCTTTAAATTACGCACTTAATTAGTAAATGGGCCATATAGTGACACTTAGAAGTATAATGTTCTCGCCTCAAACCATCTTAAAACATAACACTTTTAACTTGATACTCTGAGCTTTGTTAGCACTCAAATGGAAGCTGCTGCTGCCGCAGTGCATGCTGGGACAGCTGTCAATCCCAAGAACGGACAAGTCTGCTCTGATGCATGCTGGGTAAAGACGGAGTGGCGAAAACAACCTCCAGGGACTTTGTTATTCTTGTGAAATGGATCAGATTTAGGGCTGAGGCTGATGATGTTTCACGAGCACATGAGAACGTACACATATTGAGAAATGGCTCTAAATATATATATTTTCAAAGGACAAACTGAAGATGCCATCACTGCCAACAACATTCTCTTTGTGTCTAAGCAATAAATGTCAAGCAAAAAGTTTAATAGAGATTTAATGATGTGGCTAATGATAATACGGTGCTTTAAGGAATGTACAAATGACAAAAAATAAAGTGTTTTAGTCAACAACATGAAATCTTTTCATTTTAAGATTTGTTTCACTTCTTTATTTATTCCCCCGCTCCCCCTGCAACATGAAAAAAGTATTTGACAAAGGCTGGAGCTCTTTGTGGTTCTTTTTCTCACCCAACAACACCTTCAGACTACCTCCTCTCTCTAGACGGGAGCTTTAATTTTGTTATTCACAACTCCCAGTCACTTCATGTGGTGTGTGAATAAACACAGGAAAAGCAGCCTTACCTTGTCGTCAATGTCACTTTCGCTGTCACACTGTAACAGAAAACAGACAAACAAGGGGAATGTTAGGAATTATTCATTCGGCTCCCCCACGAAGCATAATCATTGCAGATGTTATTTTTGTGTGCCACCTTTTATTCACTGTCAGCTCTCAGAGCAAACAGTGCAAGATGAAGACAGAAAGAAGAGTGTGCAAGTCAAAGAGACTCCCCCCCCCCCCGCTCTAGTCTTCCAAACAGACAGAAAACCCTTCTGGTGTTTTTGTTATAAATTCAATGCTGCAAGTTTGCAAAAGATGTTCTATTATGAAAAAAAAAACTGTTCAGTATTTCAACATTCAGCTGCAGCACCTCATTTAGCCCTTTAAGTGTGTTTCAAAAATTGGACGATAGTATCTCAAGGACGCAGGTTCTTTGAATTCTCCAGCACGCCGCCTATTAAGTGTGGTATTCCAAATCTGCCTTGTGACAAGCCCGTCTTTAATTTCTATGTCAGACCTTTACAAGGATAAACGAACTGAAAAACAAGAAAGGAAGCTTTTCTTTTCCTGATATGTGTGTTGTCTGCTGTGGCAGAAGGCCAAATCACTCTATTCACTGAAGACCTGAAGTGGTTTGTCTTTAATGGAGAAAAAATCTCATGTCATTTCGCCTTTAGAGAATGTATGGATAAGGCTCAGATGTCTTGAGAGGACAAAGGGAAATCTAAGACAGTGTTGCAGAAAAGCAGATAATGAGAATACTGATTTTCATCACAGTTATTTTCACAGACCGGAATTACTCATTTCAGTGAATAGGAGCATAAAATAACTCACACCAACACTATAAGTAACACCTAAGTCTAAAGAAGGGTGTGAATTAAGGTAACCTTAACAACAATAAATGCTAACTGCAATGTGCTAAATATTTTAATCCAGTATTTCTATTTCTATTAGTCGGAATTCTGCCAAAAGTAATAAACACTGAAATGAGCAGGTTTATCTAAAACGCATGCATAAACTAATCTATATGTGTATGTTTGATCGTAGGGTGGGTGCTCTCTAGACCAGCGCTCCCCAACCTTTTTTGCACCACGGACCGCTATATGTCAGACAATATTTTCACGGACCGGCTGGGGTGGGGGGATACGATTAAGTAAAATGATACGACTGGCATAAAATCAAATACAAACAGCATAAAAATAAAACAACAACCCGGTCCCATCTAGTCGTAATCGGAGACAATGACACACAAAGTGTGCTCCTGATATCCAGTCTGCTGCGTAGCTTTGTTTTGGTCGCTGTAACCAGAGAAAATCCCGCTTCACAAAGATAGGATGTTATAGATAGGATGAGTCTTGAACTGAATTAACCTGTGTCAAGAGGCACAGATGCACCGACTGATGTAATTGAGAGAGAATACCGCAATTTTTTATATTTTTCAAAATAAATCATCACTCAGACTCTTATATATATATATACTTTTTTCTGTGCGGCCCGGTACCAAATGACCGACGGACCGGTACTGGTCCGCGGCCCGGTGGTTGGGGACCGCTGCTCTAGATTCTCTACTGCCTCCTTCTCTCCCTTCTGTCAACTATTGTAACTTTGAGGGCGTAACCAAACCCCGCCTGTGATTGGCTCCTTCTAAGGAAATCCCGCCTCTTGAGACAGTACTGTTTGTTCACTAGTTGCGGCTGTCACTACCAGATCCATACCGGTAGATCATCTGTGCAATCGGAAATACATCTGGGTCGCCCTGGATTGAACTTTATGAAAATTTATTTATTCTCTCACTAATTATAATAAGCTACTGAATTTATTTTCTAAAAGAATAGATTAATCCATTCTGTTTTATCACTCGTCTGTGGCGGTTCTGTCCCAGACATAGCATCCCACTTTACTTCTGGCAGTTAACTTTCTTGGCTTTGGATTTTTACATGAATGTAGTCATTTTGAGTTTTATGTTTGCCATGCATCGTACTTTTATGTTATATAGTTTAGAATCTAAAGAAAGACAACGAAAATGCAGATAAATGTCATTTTGTCGGGCAGCTCTGAGCATGTCCAATAATGACATCAGATAAGCAATTTCCATTAAAAATAAATTACATTTATTTATATGGCGCCAATTCACAACACATGTCATCTCAATGCACTTTACAGTTCAACCAGATGATACAGTTAGATTGGTTAAAAGTTTTCTATCTAAGGAAAACCAGCTGATTGTATCGACTCATTGACTCAAAGGCAATCCCTCACACTAAGCCTGCTGTTAGCGACAGTGGAGAGGAAAAACTCAGTTTTAACAGGAAGAAACCTCCAGCAGATCCAGGCACAGTGTGAGCGGCCATCTGCCAAGGCTGACTGGGGTCCAGGAGCAATTTAACTGGACATAAAACATATCTGCTTCTCTCAGACAAAGTCTTTAAATTATTTTTATAAGATGTAGTTTAGCCTTTTATGGTAGTTTTACAAGTAGGTATTTTCAGTACTTTAGTTATATTATTTATCTGAACCTTGTTGAATGTCTGCTTGCACAAATTATGCAGATCGCGTAGTGACATCAGCTAGTAACATTAGCAAAGCATCTTCAGAATAATCAGAAACAAACAGGGACGGTCAAACCGTAGAACAGTCCCACTGGAGCTCCATAAAGGGTCAGAACAGCTGAAGTGTAAATCTGTCTCCAATCTGTCAATTAAAACTCTGCAACAACGTCTTTAAGTGAAGCCTTTTTGTTTTGTTTGACTCCCTGTCAGAGCTGAAGACAAAAAGGAAGGACCCGGGTGAATGGAGACACAGCAGCCCTTTGTTGAGCGTGGTGGGTCCAAATATACAATTAGGTAACGAGAGTAATCAGAGCAAGGACTCAGTGGCCAGCATCTTTCAGCACGAGATAATGAGAGCATGTATGTGTGGGGAACCATGCAAGGAGGCTTCCTCCTACTGTTCTTAAAGCAGCAGGAGTCCACGCTGCTGGAAGGATTCAATAAGAAACCAACAATGCTACTCAGCCTCTTGGAAAGATTGTAGGGCTACTGACTGAAGCATTATCACTCAGAAAAGGCCAGGGCTCTCTTTTAATACACACAATTTTTAAGTTCTTCTAATATCAGTTGCTGTTTTGTTAACATATAACCAGAGTTACCACAGAATAGGTTTAATATATAATATATTTCAACAGACATGTTGAATGTTGGCTATGGCGACTTACTATCTTTAAAATCCCCTCTTAAAAAAACGTGTTCTTGTTTGCTTGGAGTTTTTTGAAGCTTTTTCTCCAACTTAATAAAACCAATAAGAACCAATTGCAGATTTATGTTTTGAGTGGAATTATGCCTATTTGTGTATAAAAAAATAACACATAGAGACAAATAAATAACAATCTAAATTGGGACCAATCTAGTTTTATACACAAAACGGCATTATCTCTAGCCTAGTAAACTAGCCCCACCCGCCAGCGGCCAAAATCCTTTTTGCCGTCTAGCCTCGATCAATGCCCCAGGCCCTAAATCTGGCAGGCCAATCGCAACGCAGAGATGTTTTTTGAACGTCTAGATGCAAAGGGGGCGGGTTTTGAGGGCGTGACAACAAAGCTGCACGACACAGTAGCATGCACTGCGACAGCAGCAGCTTTCAATGGAGCGCTACATTGAAAGTTAAAAGTTCTCTTTCTGTTACTGTTGTTCAATAAAATACATTTTAAGATCATTTTAGGCGAGAATATTATAGTTTAAAGCGTCACTATATGGTCTATTTACCAATTTAATGCGTAATAAAAAAACAATTTCCGAAGTTGAGAGGTCCACGGCAACCAGCGGAGCTCCGAGGCTAACGCCAGCCAGGGCTAACGGCAGCCAGGGCTAACCGCAGCGCCTCTGCAGTGGCCTTCTCTCGGCATAGTCGCATGTGAAGGACCGCTGGCTCTGATGGTTATTTTTGACTCAGCTTTGGAATCAGTTTTGGACGGATTAGACTTGGGTTTTTCGTTTAAATGGAACTGTAACTACGTCACAGTCAGTTGCACTCATTGGTCAGAGCGTTGGCCAATAGGCACAGGCAGTGGTTTGAAAGACAACGGATTGTTCTCATCAACAATCTTCCGATGTCTCATTCATTGGGGCCAGACTAAATTACACCTTTAATCTCCCATTTAGTCTGGTTTACCAGGCTACATAATCTCCATTTATTCTTGATATATAGATAAAGAAAATGTAGCAGTGTTAAAAGGAGAATGGATCAAATCTCATACAACACTTTATCCTCAGGAAATCAGCTGAAATGTATTCTTGGCATGCAGCTAAAAGGATGGCTTCCATCTCACAGCGGTTATGGGCTCCACTCTATTACAAAGGAGGGGTATAAACCATAGGTGATGGAGATGAACAACTGGCTCTGTCTATTCCCCAGGTACACGCTTTTCCTTGTTGTTACAGCAGTGGCCATGACACTAGAGATGAGGCCTCGTAAGGCTGGAACGGGCGAGGAGGAAAAATAATATCAAAAGAGCACAGCGTGGTGCTTATCCTTTTACAAGAAGCATGCACTGAGCAGAGCGTAGAGGGGAATACTAGCCCAGACAGAGACAGAGACGCAGCACAGCACAGCGGGGGGACAGAAAGGCAGGTGGAACGCCGGAGCTAAACACTAAAAACAGGCAGGGGAGGGATGCTACAGAGATGAAGGGATGTGTGGATGGATGTAATGTTCCAGCAATTTTGTCAGTTCTGTGGGTGATTGCTCTGTTGGGCTATTTCACTTAGTCGAGTCAAAGCTTGGAGAACAACGAAAGCACAGAATTGTGACGGTAGATGCAGAGACTAAGCAGTCATTTACTGTATATGGCGTCTTTAAGTGTTTACTTTGGGAAGGCTATTGTCAGAAGGGTTTTACAGAAAAAAATAAGCATTTGAAAATGCTGAAACCACTACAAGGGGGAGTTATTTAAAATCCCAAACATTTCCCATTCACCATGTCTGACTAAAACTAAGGCTCCTGTGGTTTGGGGAACAAACTAACAATCTATTCCAAACCATCACCACCATCCTCACAT